CTCTCTCTCTCCCTCTCTCTCTATTTCTCTATCTATCTATCTCCATACAAAGAAATGAAGGAGAGATTTTTTTTTAAAAAACGAAAGACGTTTGATAAGAAAGACAAAGCAAACCACACCAGAACACTTGCGCACCACATGTCATTGTGTCCACCAGTCACCCACCGAGAGGCGAACGGAGGTGATAAAAAGAACGAGAAACGAGAAAAGAAGATGGACCAATCCGTTTAAACAGTAAAAAGAAGTACACCGAGTCAACATAATAATTGCCTTAAATGGCAAGACAGAAACAGCTGTGGCAGAGAAAAAAAAGCAGGACTCACCAGAAACCCTTCCCCCTACCCCTTCCCAATACATACACACACCACACACCCTCCAACCACCAGCTTATAGAGAAACGATAAGTCATCCGATGGATGACAGCCATGGCTCCCTGCCAAAACACAGGTTTCGCCGAGTGTCAAGCCTTGACAAAGTATCAGGCTAAACAAAGACATAAAAATGCAGCGCGTCTAGACATTATCCCTCTCTAAAAAAAAAAAAAAGAAAAAGAAAACGAGAAATTCTCGAAAAACACATAAACAAGTACATCTATATAAAACAGGGCTTATCAGGCAAAACCTTCGTACCTACAAATATCCCAACAACAACAACAACAACAACAACAACAACAACAACAACAACAACAACAAATAGAAAGAAAGAAAATGAGAACGAAAAAGAATGGGATAAAAGGAAAGAACGACAGATTCCCTAACAAATGACTTAAAAGAATACAATGTAATCTTCTGCAATCAGAACGAGTGGGACGCTCACTAACTAATAAAAACAATTTTTAAAAATTAGGAAGAGACAAATACAATTCCTGGGACACTAGTACAGACATAAACCTGAACATCTAGGCTCTCACTGGAATGATCAGCCTAGAAAAATAGACGTCAAACAAGGCTCTTTTTTAGGCATCGTGGCCAATCGACCATTACAGGCGTGTTCTGTATGATGTATCTCAGCCTTTGTTTACTGCAATCATAATTGTCTGTCAAAGTAGTAGTAGTAGTAGAGGTTTTACGGCACTCGCAACTGCATAAGGTCATAAGAGCGCCAGAAGATTAGAGGTGTTACAAGAGAGTAACAAACATAAAAAAAGAAGGAGGGGAGAAAGGGACGATAGATGTTTGATAGAAAAGAAGGAGCAAACCACACCAGAGCACCCGCCAACCACCCGCTGTCTGTCAAAGTCTGTCGATGTCCAAAGCATCCGCAGAGAAGAATATACATTTCTTTTGGGTAATAGAAGTCCACAGTTAAATGATAACGAACATGGTAAAGACAAGGGGGAGGAGGGGGGGTGTGTGTGAAAAGAACAAGT